CACTCACACACACACACACACACACACACACACACACGCACACACACACATAAAGTCGACCACTTTTCTCAGGGGTATCGCTAACTCTGGGCGATGTGCTGAGTCCTTATCCATCAGTCAAATGCATCCTGGGCAGACTGTCGGGGTTCAACCTCCTGATGAGTCGGTGAAAGTCGGACGAAACAGTCTGGTACAGTCGTGCTTTTTTTGAGTGTACAGTGAATATGACAACACACACACACGCACACAGACACACACACACACACAGGTCTCACTTGTTCTCTGAATCTCTTCACTTTCTTACCACGGTGCCCAGGGCCAGTTGACTATAGTGACTTGCTTGCCTCACTGCAGCCGCACTCATCTCTAGGTCGCAAAAGATTGCAGCAACACTTCCAGAACTCGCACAAGTGGAGATGTTGACGCACACTTCTGCTGTGGTTTCATATCCAGTGAGTCAGATTGCTTTCCTTTCCAGACTGGTACCTGCTATCTGCCTACAACAGTTGGGTCTCTGACAGCATCTGCAGCGTTCACTGGGACCGTGTGGGACTGGACTGTTGAGACTGGTCCCCCGCTGGGCTGCTGACTGGACTGGGCTGGACTGTACGGGACTGTGTGGGACTGGACTGTAGCCTACCAGCCCTACTTAGCTACCGGACTGGGACGTACGGTACATGGGACTTTGGAACCTTGGGACTCAGACAGACCGGGACTGGATGCTGATACCCCTGAAATCCTTTCAGCTATGGACGTATAAATTAAACCTAATAAGTATATCTACTGGAAGTTTAAACTAAGACGAACTTCAGGAAGTACTTGTCAAACAGAAATTGGGACTCAGACTGACCGGGACTGGATGCCGATACCCCTGAATAACTTGTCAAACAGAACATCCCAGTTTTAACAAGTTGAGCACATGCCATGGCAGGAAGAAGATGAGATCCACGCATGTTTTTGTCCTTTTGTCTCTGCAACTTAGTCTTTGCAGCATGGAAGGGAGTTTCGGACATGAATCCAAGTGAGTGCATCATCACATTGCTTCATGGAATGCCAAACTGTGTGGTGCTATGCAATACAACATGGACTTAGGAATGGGCACATCGATAAAACACATACACACAGAGCTTCGAGGAATTAGGCCCTTGCAAGGGGCCCCACAGGCCTACTCACGCCCCAACCATTTATCCCAGGGCTCTCGGGGCAGCGGGGCTGGTTTCCTTCAGCGTAGCCACATTTTTCAGGTTCTGCGGCCTCTCTGGCTGTGTGACCGAGCCCTCACTTTTCAGGAAAGGGCGCACTGCGCAGCATGTCACCCGCGGCCTCTCGGCCATTGGGAGAGAAGGAAACAGTGACAATGAAGACCCACAGTTGAGCGACCCAACTGTCAGGCCCAGGCCCAGGGCGCAGATCCTGAGGCCCAACTTGAAACTACTGGGCCCCAGGTCGCGCCAGCACTTTCCATAAAGGAATATGCCTCGCTCCCAGTCGGGCATTCTGGCCGGGGCGAACTCGTGGCAGCACTTCTGGATTGGAAGCAGCCTCTGCTGGGCGCAGGTAAGCGAGGGCGCACACGGGCGCTAGGAGGAGGGTGCTGCCTGGGAGCAGCACGCGAGCCTACCATATCCGGGTAGAGCTTGCTGATTGCATGGTGAGCTGATGGTGGTCTTCGCTGGACTCTTCGGGCGAGGGAGGGACTGACTGTGGGTGGTCAGGTTATGAGAGAGAGAGAGAGGAGTCGTGCCGGTGTGTATGCAGTGGTCTGCATGGGGGACTTCTTCGTGAACATTGGTCTTCTGCTGGAAAGTTCCCTGGTTGCATATTTGCCTGGGAGCAGCACACGAGCCTGCCATAGCCGGGTAGAGCTCGCTGATTGCATGGTGAGGTGCTGGTGGTCTTCGCCGGACTCTTTGGGCGATGGAGGGACTGACTGTGGGTGGCCAGGTTATGAGAGAGAGAGAGAAGAGATGTACATGTGTGTATGCAGTGGTCTACATGGGTGACTTCTTCGTGAACATTGGTCTTCTGCTGGAAAGTTCCCTGGTTGCATATTTGTAGTGTAGCCTAGTGCAGGCGCTGAGCGGTTGTAGACTGGGCGCTGGGCGCCATAAGAGAAGAGCAACATTGGATACATTGTTGATGGTGGAAAGTTGGGGCTGACATTGACGTTTGGGTTCATTGCATTGCATTGCATTGCTCCGCTTGGTATATGACTATCCGGTCTTCAATGTGATGTTGCAATCTGGTTCTGTCTATCACTCTCGCTCAATTTCCTTGCAGAGCACAAACCTGAAGACAAAGAAACACACAGTCGGGGACAATGTGACCCCCTTGGCTATGGTACTGGTGTACGTGGGGGAGGGGGTGGGGGAAGAACACAGACATGACCAGA